AATTTTTATATATATAAATGACATTAGGAAACAACCACACATTGGTGATCTACTGATGACAAAAATTAATAAAACCAGATATATTATTGAGTAGTTAATTAGCTACCCTTTTGTTCATGACCCTGCTGACCTCCTACCAAGTCCCCAACTCCCAGTCCACATAAAAATAAAAATTAGAAGATAAGTAACAGTTGCTTCTGAATGGGAACATTATACAGGATGAAGGAAATGAGCAACATGACAGCACAGCATCCTAACCAGGAAAGCCCCAAAGGGAAAGTCCTCAGCTGCCCATGCAGGAAATACCCTGTGTTCCAGAAGTAGAAGGTCAGCATGTGGGAACAGCTTTGTCTTTTACACACGCATAACCAGCAGCATAAGCATACTGGGAGGACTGCTGCTTTGTTCTAGCCAGCTTTGAAATACCAGAGCTATCGTATTTTCTTCCACAGGGCTCCTAGCTGTTCAACAGCAACAGGGTGGTTAGCATTAACTCAGCTAAAATACAAAGGAATTGAAGCCTATTCAAGTATCAGCAGAAGGTTCGTTATATTGGTAACGTAATTTAATAGTTCTCTGACATGTTTGTTCAACTATGTCTCTCATTATGTAATTAAAGCAAATACATAATACTGGCAGGCCATGGAAACTGCTACACCAGATCCTCTACAATGAAATAGAAAACAAAAGAATACAAAAAGATACTTACTAGTTGGGTATATACACTTGTTTTAGCTTGCTTTCTGCTTCTGCTGCTTTCAATCGTTTCTTTAAAAAGAAAAGAAAAAAGAAAAAGGTTAGAATAGAAAGAAAATAAGGACTATTTTACCTGCGAGTCAAGTAACATGCCTGTAAAAACTTTAGCGCTTATTAACAAACAATGGAGTTTTCCTTTCACTGAGCAGCTACCACAAAATCCTTTTCCAACAGGAAAATACCCACTGAAAACAACTGCAGGCATCAAATGACTACGTACACAGCTTTTCAAAAAAGTCAGAGATGACAATCTACTATTTGTAAGGACAAACTTTTCATTCCCATTCACTTCAATACAAATTCATGCATTGTTCCTCCCACAACCCTTTTTTTTTTCATGCAAAAGAAGATCTGACATACCAGTCTGTGTCCATTCTCCATGATAATATTCACCAATTGAACAATAACAGGTATAGTAATGCACCCTCTCCATCGTATTTCTTCAACAGCTGAACCAATTCAAAGAGTTTGAACGAAGACTTTTTTGTCGATAGTCCTCATTTTTGAAGACTGAGTGACATGGGAGACCTTTTTTAAAAGTTAAAAAGGCCAAAAGCTCAACTCAGAACCGATGCAGAACTACCCAATAGATTTTTTTAATTATGGTATGTCATCACTTCTGACTAAACATCAGCCATGGGCAACCTGTACATTTGCACCTTCTAAAGGTGAGCAGCTCTAGGTACACAAACACTACGCATTTATCCCCCTTTGAGACAAAAAGGAAATAAACCCCAGGCATATGTGCGAATCTCAGGGGACAGGTAGCAAAGAACATCAAGGGGGTAGAAAGGGGAGAAGCTAACTAGACCAAACCACCAGCCCCTAATGAAAAAGACCATTGCCAGGAGATATTAAGGAACATAACAGAGATGAGTTTAAGGGAGAACACATACAAGAAGCAGACTTTCAGAGCATGGGGACACATGTTTAGAAGTACACACCATTTGTCTCTTTACACAGCCCTACTTCAGTAAAACCATCCATTAACTTCTGTCCACATTTCTGGAGTAAACGGATAACAGGATCCTTTCAATGGGATGTATGGAGTAAATTCCCCCAGTATAGCACTGTTCCTTTTTTTTTTTCAGCTACAGCTGTGAACTTGCTGATAGCCCACAAGAACATGGCAGAGGTAGGCAATTAGCATGAGCTTTACTAACTGGCCAAGAATTCCTTTTATAACTCAAACCTTCACACCATTTAAAAAGTAAAAGAGACATTCTGAGGTTCAACTTTTCTCTTTATTACATAAGCTAAATTAATTTAGGGTGAACCACTGGAGGCCTCTAGTCCAACTTCCTGCTCAAAGCCGGGCCCACGCCAACATCCATGCCGGTAAGAGCGGCCTGCATAAAGCCGCAACCATGTTTTCCAGGCAAACCATCAGCGTGGTGATATTCTAGACAGATTAGCTTAACATTTTCTATGCAGCAGCCCCAAGGCACAGTCTAGGAAAATAATTGTAAAGGTAAAGTCAGTATCTTCATAGACACAGGAAGCACTAGAAAATGTAATAAAACGGAAGAGAGTGTCACTGAGGAACTGCACAAACATAAAAATCCTTTTTACAGGGACACGATGGACACACATAGAAACAATGAAGTAAAAGTTCCCCATAAGCATAAAGCTTGCTTTGATCAGAGGGACAGTCTTAAGCAACAGTTTTTCATTTGATAGCCTGACAGTTCCTCACCAAAGCTCTCTAGACTCCTAAAGAATTCCCCTCTTACCTTTTCCTGCAAATAAAAGTCAACCTATCTTAGAAATCAAAGAATGAAGTTGTCAGACAAGAGAACAAGGACTGAGAAAACAGAACTTCTAAAATTTATCCAGACTACGGAAACACCTTCACAGAGCTGCATCCAAAAGCTGACTTCTTTCTGCTGATGTAGGCAAGTTTCCCAGATTGCTTCTGTTAAATCTCATCTAGGACAAGGACAGCTACCTGAAAACTGTCTTCAAGAAAACCCAAATGAAGACTTCGTGGAGACGATCCTTATCAATCCCACAGACTTGGGGGAATCAATAATACACATTGTACCGGCAATCGGTGATGGAACTAAAAAGGTTCTCCCTCTGAATACAAACCACAAATTCAGAGTTGAACATTTTCAAAATCCCCTGCTCAAGTCCTTTTATATTAAGAAACCAAAGCATCCAATGATTGGCCTCAAAAAGTGCTGTGACAATGGTTCTCCAACAGCATAAGAAACTGTCCTCTATCTTCCAGAGAGACGCTACCCAAAAAAAAAAAGAAAATCATCCTTCAACAAAATGCACTCTCTCAGGTGCATTTCTTCTCCTGAACTGAAGGCTGTTCCACCCACAGCCTGGACTGAAAAACAGATCTTCTCTCCCCAGGCACAGACTACCATGGGCAGTTATGCCAGCAGATGAACAGCCACAGACTCATACTATCCCCAGGAATTACACGGAAGTCCAACATCAGATACTGATAAACAGCTTAAAATACTGCTTGATGAACTTTGTACAGGAATCGTATTTCCTTGAGGTCTATGCAGGAAATTCAGAGAACTTCCACTGGTAGAGAACTGTTTTGGTTTTTGGGTGTTTTGGTGGTTTTTTTTTCCCCCTCCAATGTCCACTAGATTTCTAGGTTATGGGGGGAAAAAGCTGCAGTTTTCTCGACAAAAGCTCCCAAGGGGACTATCTAGAGTCATTATGTTATGACAGTTTTGGAAATCTATGAATGGAAACAGCTTCACGCAAGCACAATGCATTACATTACCAGCAGCTGAAATATTCTACTATACACAATGTAAAGTCATTTGCCTTGGAGACATGGTTAATTTAGGGCATTAAGCAACATTTTAGTAAACTGGTGATGAATGTTAACCTCACACCACAGATTTTCTTTGTGATTGATGATCATGGTGTGAGCTCTGAGCTAACAACTGCTCTAATTCACCTGGACCTAGCAATATCCTCCTCTCCTACAGCCAGCTGCCTGGGGATCAGCGCAGAGCATGACGTACAGCATACACCTTTATTACAAACTAGTATACCAGGAAAACTGAAGGTTTTTAGAAGGTACCACAATGTACTGACTAAGAAGAGGTTAGTTTTGCACTAAGTACTTGCGGCTGTGGACAATCAATAGACCAGATATGATGAGTTTCCTATGTTCTGACAGTGACTGATGCCAGAAGGTACAAAAGAAAGGTGCCTGAAATGTAGTCATGCACAATTCCAGAATAATCCCTTCACAGAGAAAGTGCTTTGCTAGGTCCTTTGCCGGTTATTAATTGATTTGTGCCTGAAGCGTATTTACGCTATAAATTCTTAATGTTGTCTGATGTAGTTATGAATGTCCTCATCCACAAAAAAACCCTGAACATCTATAACTTTTTCTAGTAGTTTGGCCTAAATGCAATCTTTTGACCTTGAGTTATTTATATATGCACATCTTAAGTATATCCCCTTATTTACCTCATCATATTTTCCCTATCTATAAAAGGGAGATATTACCAACTTGTCTATCCCAGAGGGACCAAAGGATTAAATTACTAAGCACTGTACATTTGAGTTGGTGCAAACATCTGACCTCTCCCTAGATTTAACATCTTTCATTCTACCCACTGAGCGTGAAAGAGTTTTGTAATATGTGACGTATGAGAGCAAATATTTGTGGTCATTTTCTAAAGAGTGAACATTTATGAAGAGGAAGTAACAGAAGAAATCCAGGAATGCAGGGGATATTTCAAGGTCCGCAACGCAGAGTCAGGTTGGTAGACAGCACGGGGACACCTCAAACATCCTCAAATATTAAGCCCTTATTAGTTGATGATGGGGAAGATAGTCTCTAAATCGCATTTTCTGGAATTAGAGAACTTTCACACTGTTTATTCTTTTTCAAAACTCTGAACAACACAAGTGCTGCTGGGAGGCAGGAGAGATGGGACAGAAAAGGTAATTAGTCCATGGTGCATTTGGAAGAAGTGTTTCCAGCTGCTTGTGCTCTAGCAACACATCTCAGCACTGATGTGTGGCACCTACGGCCTCTGTCGCTTGCCAAAACTGCCATAGTTCCATGTTATGTAGGCTTAACAGGAGGTGTTTGGGGATAAAACATCCTACGTATGCAGAAAAACATTTCTTTGATGTTATTTCTATTTTGCTAGCACGCAGTACTTTATGAAGGCTAGTACATTAAGATGTCACTCTCAACTCTTGGCTAGGTACAAAGAAGGTTTGCTTTCTGTAATAACTTCTATCTACATCAAGATTTACCCATAGCTCCCTCTTTTAAGCTCCCTACCTTGTGTAGTCAGATATAATGGCACTTCCACTTTCTCTGGTATCTTCTCAACACTATGCATACCTTAAAACTGATTTTCTCTGTCTCTTCCTCCTACACTTTTCTAATGGCACTGCCACATAACAAAGAGAACAGTACAAATTCATAATATTTGATCTTCCTCTTGAAGTTACATGCTCCTCAAGCACAAATAAAAATGCAAAAAATAAATTAAAGCTTTCAACTTTCAGAAAGCACATGACTAATTCAGTCATCTGCCACTGCCATGTCCTGAGCTCTTCTCAGCTGCATCTCAACAGTTGGAAAGTGTTATGTTTTAAAGTTTTCTGGACTTCCCCTCACGATACGAAAAACAGCAGAAGCATTTAAAGATCTTTAAAAAAATAACGACCCTGGAATTCACAACTACGTAAGAACTCAACCTTTACTTTGAATGAAAATGTAGGCATACCCAAACATCATAACAACTCTTGAAGACTGGGGGAAGCCACCAAACAGCAGTTACTCAGTGGATGCCATTTCAAACCCTTCTGAATCAGAAATATATGGTCTTAAAATTGACAGAGGAAATCTCTCTCAAGAAAAGGATGCATTCAAAGGAGACACGAGATAGTGAATTTGGAATGCATCTCCCTCTTTTTCTTCAGGACAGCTCTGAAAGGGTGTCTTTGACAGAAAAATTCTTGGGACCACTTTGGACAGACATTCAGGAGCCTACATCAGACCACAAATTTTGTGTTGAAATTGCAGTAGAATTACTCCTTCTAGCAGTTCTGTTCTTGGAGGGTCAGCCCTTCTCTTGAAATGATTGAACTCCTAATTACGCTGGTAACCTTCAAAAGCATGGTATAGCTGAAGCCAAATAAAATTACTGGATAAGGGAACCAAGTGCATGCTCCAAAACAAGCCAATTTGTATGTATCTTAATCACAGTATCCTACTCACAAGACAAGGAAGTGCCATATTAAGCCTTTCGATCTTAGGTATACCAAGCATAAGTATACCTTATAGTTCAGTTCTGAGAAAGGGTCTTCTGTTGAAGTCAACTCAAAATTTAGCTTCCTCAATGGCAAGAAACAGATGAATTCTGCTTCAGGATTATGACATTGCCTTCTCCCTCCAAGAAAATCTCAAAGGAAATACAGAAGGATGTAAACAGTTCCCAACTAACTGTTTTTCATCAAAGCAGGCAATTGGCTGATGACAAAAAACTTCATTACTATGTTGTGTAACTCACAGAAATAGACAGTTTAAATGGACGTTTTCATGTTCATTCAGCCAAAGATTCTACAAGAATGAGCAAGTTATCAATATTTTTTAAGATAATAACATACAGCCTTGGAATATAGTTTAATCATCCTCTCAGAAAGAGGGCAAGTGAAAGTGAAACAACTCGGGATACACACTTTTCATATCCTTACTTAGCACATTTTTAATATTTTATGTACAAAAATACTGTTAGCCCCAGAACCATTTTGTGGTATTAGATTAAGGGAAGAATCTACACAGACAAAACACTATGAAGAAACAGATGGAAAAACGTGGTGAGGGATGTGCTTTGCCAAAGACTTTGCACACATCAAGTAAAATATAAATGTAATACGCTATTATTTCAACTACAACTTCCTATGCTTTCTTTGTGGTTATATATAGATACCTCTCCCAGGCTTTTTGTAAATGTTTAATAGTATTATTTGCTTGTACAAGCTGGAAACTTGAGATGAGGTCTTCAGCTTAGTTCAGACTTAATTGATGTGTTATCTCTGTATTGCAATTTCTACCTGTTCGGCTTATACTCATACTGTCTCCTAAGTGCAGAGCCTCTAACTGGAAGTTTCCCTCAAATCCCATTCCCTGTACACTGCTGGGCAGCACATGTAAGGTAAAGTATAATCATGATAGAAAACCCACTGCATAGGAATATAGCAAAACAGTACGAGAAACTGTAGGTTTGTTGGGTTTTTTAATTGCTGCAAGAACAAATAATCAAAGTCTTTCACACAACTATCCCCTCTGCAATTTTGTCTGTGTAATAAGAAAGTTCAAGAAAGTGGAAAAAGCAAAAGAATTTAACCACTTCCTAATGAAGGCACAGTTTCTCCAGTTGTTTTGCCTTCCCAGCACATAGGCCTGGAAGCAAACACCTGGGACACTATTCTAATTTGTCTCCTACGGTATCCAAGAGTGAACACCAAAGAAACTGCTCCCTATCCCTTACTCTCACCACCACCATTGTTACATACCTCAAGATGGGCAGAAACAGAACTTCGCCATTGCAAATGTATCGTGGACTTTCTGAGCAGTATAGGGATGCTTTTTGGTTTAATCTTTCCCAAGAATTCCTACTATTGTTTGCTGTTCTGACTGAACAGGGGTGACATTTTCATGCAACAGCCTAAGAGTCTAGTTTTCACTGACTGATAAAACAACTTTCCTCACTTTTTCTGATACCTAGCATATTGCTAGATGGATTTTTATCACTAAAAGAAGTGAGGTGAGATAAAAGATGCAGCGAGGAAGATAAATGGATTCCTCTCAGTGCAAATATTGAGCATAGTACAGGCTGAGTACACTCAGGTATCACCTAAACAGCTGTAGTCAGACAGTATAGCAGCACTCACTATATCAACAATACACATAGTTCAATGGGGAAGGAAAGACGATTACCTCATTTCTCCAGCACCTTTTTTCCCCACCATGCCAGCTTTCACCACCACCCCACCTTCCTACCACCCATTTCCTTACCGGAAAGAAAAGTTTCAATCAAAGAATGAACTTGGGGAAATAATGGAATGAGGATGCAGTTAGTCTTTTTTTAAAAAGTAATACAGAATTGATGCAAAAAAGAGTTCTCATTTGTCCTGAGGATCCCTCTATAATTTAAACAGCATTCAGATCAGAAAGAAAATGTGCCCAAATACAGCACATGCCAAATATTGGTCAATGCTTCAGGCATCTAGTCTTTATCCCAGGCTGAATTTCCAATGAAGCAAGTTAAAGCAAGACATTTTTGTAACTCCACTTTTTCTAATACTTCAAATAGATGCCTAAACATAATACTGATAATTATCATGAAAAATCCATTATATATTTCTCCCTTCTTTTAATTAATTTTCCCATTAAATATTATAAGTAGTTTTCAGCAACTGACACTCTACAACATTTTGCATGCTGCTTGCATTGTGCTTTCTTTATTTAAGGGACCAAGCAGCCTTCGTATTTAAACAAGTAGAGATAAAAATGATTGTAAACACTAGTCAAAGTTGACTCTCAGGTATAACGAGTCTGGGAATTTGAGCCATCAACGCTTCCCAGACAAACACTTTACTCGCAGTGCTTACGTGGGAGAGCCTCCGTGCATCTGCAAAGTCACGGGCAGGCAGAGGTGGAGAATTAGCATGGGTGTCTGTTGTACAGCAACTGCCCACCCCCCATAAAAAGTCAAAACTGAAGTTAATGCTGGCCTTGAATTCTACAGGCAGAAATTAACTGTATTCCCTTCCTCAAACTGCTGAATTCCAAAACAGACATTTGAAAGCTCCAAACAAATAAAGTAGCAGCAAACATGAAAAGAAAGCACAAATGCCAATGCTACATGTTTGTATCTACAGAACGGCTGATGAGTTTAGTGACAAGCCATTGTTCGGTGCTTCAAATCATTACAGAACCCACCTATTGGAAAGGCTGAACCCCAAGAGAGAGAATAAAGCAAGAATGCTTTTCAAAAGCAAGAAAAACATCTTCTGTTAGAATGAAAGATGCTGAACGTATCTGTCTGTAGTTTTCCACATATAGTAATATTCTATTATGCTTGTTAAGGACTTCCATGGGAGCTAGGGACATAAAGGAAAAGCAGCAGTCATTGCAAGGAGCTGGCACACAGCCTCACTGAAATTCACAGGATTCTTTGACAGTTTTTAGCAGAGCCTTGCAACTACTAACCCTCCTAACAAAAAAAGACAGTCAGTGTCTGAATCTCCTAAGGGCATTAGATGCACATGGGAGCCATGTTAAATTAAATGTCCTTTCAAAAAATAGTGCTTTCAGTGTAGAAGTAGAGCAGGTTACAGGTAAATCTTCATGCTGCATTGGCTCCACAATAAACCATTCAAGAGAGGCACAATGTGGAAGTGAGCCCACTGGCTCAGACTCTCTGCTTCAGCAGCAAAGACTTAAGCAAGAGCCATAACTACAGTATCACAGTTCTGATTTGCTTGGCTTCTATGGAGCTGACGCATTTAAAAAAAAAAAGTAATAACTACTAATAGAATTGTGCCCTGCCAGCTCTGTTCTCTGCATGAGAAGCACGAGGATTTCAGCAGGGCCACAGAGAGTGTTATGCTGTTTCCAAGTCCCTCTGTCTAAAAAATTAGAGCACGGGACAAGCAACACTGAAACTACTTGTTTTGTTCCAGAGGACTCGAACAGCGATAGAGTGAAACTTGGCTCACTTTACAGTGCTCCATTCAATCTGCAGGCTGAGCACCTAGGGTGGAGCTTTGGCCAAACTACAGGACGCTTCCCCTGGATGCCCAAGATTCCTTTTTAAAACTTTCAAAAAGCCCTTTCTGAAATTGCATTATAAAAGTGACTAAATTTTCATGTTTCAGAAGGCCCAGTGCTTATTCTCCTTCGAACACCAATTAATCTACAGCAGCTAGGCTGTCACAACACTTTCCTAAATCCTCCCTCAGCTGAAGTGGAGCAGATGATTTTAAATTAACGTCTCTAAAGGAAAAGATATCATCTGTGATTTGAAATTCTGACTGTACAACAGGCTGTCATCAGTATGAGGTCTGCCTTTCCCCAGTTTACAGCAAGACACATGCTCCAGTTCAAAGCCCTCTTCAACACAAAACCAATACAGTTCAGACAAGCTGTAAACCAGCTCTGTCACTGATCAGAACTGGTCACCATGTGGGGCCTCATTTTATATACTTACAAAATCTTGCTGAATGTCAGTGAAATCTTTTCCATATTTTTCTAGTGCTTCCTCAAAGAGGTTTGCCTCTGAAGCAGACCACTCCTCCATCTCATCTCTGCATAGGACTGGCCCACCTTGTGGCACAAGCGCAGAGATTGCCTTGGAAATGTCATAGACATTTTTGTGCAAAGTGTCCATAGCATGGAACTAGATGGTTGTAAAAGAGAGAGATAAATGTAAGGAGAAGCATCTAGGGGGAAAAAATGCTGAACAGTGAAACAGCAGTAACAAAAATTCTGCATTGAGATTTGAGGGTGCAGTATTCTATACCTAACACAAGGTCAGTAAAAACTTGTTCCAACCTCAGACTCACTGTAATTGTCAGTGTACGAGTCTAACATTCACTAACAATAGTAGGGTTTGTGAAAGAGGACCCCTCACATATCAATAATTCCTACTTAGCTACTCACCAGCACCACCACTGTAGCACTACTGTTAAGAAAATGCTCAGGATAGACACCCACTCACCCCAGGACTGAGCAGCCCTGTTAGGTACCATCCACAGATGGGGCATGAAGGTAGAGGTCCGAGGGCATATTTTCTAATAAACTTAGCCATGCACTTTCTTTGTCAAATAATCCACAAAAATTGCATGTAAGAAAAATATTTAAGAAGAGCAACACACATACACTCCCTCCAAAGGCCACAAATCCCAAAAAGATTCAAGTCAAGTCACATATCATAGCTGAGTAGGAAAAAAGAATTACTCCCAAGAGCAATTACTCCTCAGAAAGCTGAGCTACGACTGTCTGCAACTTGTGATTTACAAGGGCTGAGAACACATTGTGAGGGAGGAACTGGTATTAGTAAATGAAATGGCTTTATTTCCTAGTTTCTGTAGTTTTAATCAGGATGTTATTTGCCTTTCATCACACCAGTTTTGTGCACGTGCATAATTAATCTACAGTGTTTTATCCTAGAATTTGTCCTATGTATGATTTCACATTATTCCAGTTATGACGTGAGGCTTTGATAACAGTTCTCTGGAGACTTCATAAATTTTATTCAAATTTTCATTAAACTTCCTCTAGCACAGAAGTTCAAGTTTTCCCTTTCCTCTATCTACTCAGAATCATTTATGATTATAAAATATTAACAATGTCACCACTCCTCAGGTACTCTAAAATGGAGCTTGTCAAAGAGAAGAACTGGATCAACTGAAATTTCTTATCTGACCACAAGCTTTCGACCCTGACAATCTTGCCCAAGGATGCCAGTGACAGTCCGGTGTTGGGGAAGTGATGAGGAGTGGCATTCTGGCATTATAACATTGCAGACAGGCAGATAATCATTTGCATTCTTTTCAAGACAGCTACTAAGCCCGTGCAAGAGGTGGGCTGTGAAGCATGTCATCAAAACATTTTAGTAAAACAAAACAAAACAAACTATCTCATAGAATTATCCATGATGGATCATAGGAGGCACACGGCCAGAAAAAGTTACTTCATACGTAAATAAAGGGTTCCTTTACAAAGACGGGATCTGCTTCACAGCAGGCCACAATTACAATCCATCTGCCCCTCTCTCTTTGCCAACTGTTATTGCTGAGGTGAGTATTTTGCATCTCAAAAACTTAAGGTCCTCTTAAAAATCTTACCAGCGTGATGTCCCTAGAGGCTGCTGCAGCACTCATGTGCAAACTGGGCTGTCTGACAGAACTACTGCAATCTAGTGCTCGGGCAAACGTACCAACAGACCTGAAAGAAATTAAACAGAGCATTAACTTTGCATGCAAAACAAGCATAAACATAAACACCCAAGCAACGCTTTTTGAGATCAGCAGACTCCATTTCTCAGTAACAAGATTACATGGTCTGGCACTAGTTCTGAGCCAGAGACTGGTCTCTTCAGATGTGGTTTGTTATTATGAACGCTTTATTCTACTTAGTTCATATGACCAAAGAGGCTCAGGCGTAGGACGGGAAACAGTGAAAGACTCAAGGATCACAAATGGGGAGTTTTGAACTACTCTCTTATCCCCTATCACTCAATAGAATTAAGCTTTAATAGAAACTGAGCACAAGCAAGCTTTATGAATGGCAAAAATCTCTTCCACAACGGTAAGAGCAGCACTGCATTGTCCAAAGGTAAAGAGACAGATGACAGAAGACCAGATAGAAAAAAATGCAGTAATGCAAGCATTTTTTCTAAAAATTCAGGAAAATTAAAAACAATCTTCATTTTACAACATAATATAGCGTAACACAATATATATATTATATAGCCTGCATGAGAATACAGCAATTCTCAAATATTTCCCAATGCCAGCCATGCCTGCTTGTGAGACCACAATCCCCATGCTCCTCATTTCATCCCTAAAGAAATTGGTTGGAGAAACCTTTAAACAGGAACATCGGTTCTAGTCATTCCTACTTTCCTTGCTGCTTGCTACACCACATGGGTGAAGCACTTGTGCTCCTGCACAGTGAACTGGAGTTGAATTCCTCTGAACAACTACAACAACAAAAAAAGGTGGGTTTTTTTTTCCCTCCACTCAGATCACTTTCCCAAACTAGTTGATCGCACAGAAGAACAGCCTAGTGCCAAGCAGTGCAGGAGTAGGAAAGGTAAATGCTTAAGCAGTAGCTGTCATCAAATATCTAATTTTGGCCAAAATCCAAACCAGCCTCCCCCACCCAAGTGTCTGTGGTGATTCACACTTCACCCTCTCCCCAGCCTCCCCAATCACTATGCCTACCCCTGCTTCACAACTCCCCTGTCCCCAGCTTTAGCTGAACTGATACCTTTTTCCCCATGTGTGGTGTCTAATTATAAACTCACTTGGCTGATTCCAGACTGAAGTGATTTTTATACCCATCTTTTCAGTGATTCTCGTTGCAGCACGCACGCTCAAGCGGCTATATCAGCAAACCCAGTGGGCAGCAGTGAACAGCCAGAAAGCATTACTAAAACCAGTTTCGCCACTAAAAGCCTACGCAAGGTGGAAACAAAGCAGCTCTACGGTCACTCTAAACCAACCCATGTGCAAACCTCCATCCTCCGGGGCACTTTACTCTCGCTTCCTGCTGGGTCTTCCTGACACCGACACCAGAGCACTGTGTGGCTGAGT